GACCCTGGGTCCAAAGGATTTCTTCACTCTCACCTCTTCTTGGTACTAGTAGTGCTCCATGTCTGCCCTGGGGTGGCTCATTTTAAACCTAGCAGGATGGCAAAACTGACCAATCCCCTCGTTAGGGTTTGATACACCTTATTTGCATGGCCCCACCCCCACAAAGGTGCCATGCACCATATTTGCATGATTAGCAAGCTATCCAATCCCCTTGGTGGGCCACCAGCACCTCATTTGCATAGTCCTACCCAGTCAATTGGTGGATGTTACAGAGCTACAGCTAAAAGGGCCGTATAAAAGCAGTTGATCGAGCACAACATGAAAGGTAAGAATTCTACCACAGCACCTCTGATGCCTCGTTTATTCTAGCAGAATATCACATTTATCATGTGAAAGAGAAACTAGAAGGAGCTGAACTCCTGGTGAGATAACGGCCCCTGGGGCAGGCCTCTAAAAACTGGTCCCGACTCACAGCGGCCCCTCCTTGGGTTTCCGAGGCAGTATCACTTACAGAAGTAGATTGCCCAGTCGTCCTTCTGATGAGTGGCTGGTGGGTTTGAACCGCCAGCCTTCTGGTTAGCAGTCACGTGCCTTAGGCACTACGCCACCAGGGCTCCCGGGGAGGCCTGACCTTGTGGGTGTGACTGGCATCGCATCAGGGTAGCTCCGAGTCCTGCTTACCTTGTCTGTCCAGACTTCAGACCACTGTGAGGACTTCAGAGGTTGGTTGGATTCCTTGATTCCAGAAACCTCTCTTCTTCATAATGCCTGAAGGAGCTCACGAACATGAAATTTTATAAAGACAAGAAAAAGTTTAGTTGACAAGAGCTAAGCCCACACTATGGCATGAACAATACGCAGCTTTACTAAAGTGACCTTAACTGTAGTCCACAGGCTGCTGCTTGAGTGTGGTTCTCGTGGTAAGTGCTAATCCATAGCAATTATGCTTCTAGTTTATTTTCTCTTTTGTTTACTCATTACTTTAGTCAATATTTAATGAGGTCTATTACTGTGATAACAGCAGAGGATCAATGAAGGATAAGATTTTATTTTTTGTCTGTAAAGAAACTCACAGTAAGTCTATTGTTGCTTTTGGGTGAATTCCAACTCCTAGTGACCCTATAGAAGCTCTGGTAGCATAGTGCCTAAGGCACTTGACTGCTAACCAGAAGGCTGGCAGTTCAAACCCACCAGCTACTCCTTGGAAGGAAAGTTGGACAATCTACTTCTGTAGAGATACC